AAAAAAAAAACAAAAAAAAATAGGATTTTTCTTTCCTTGTAGTTCTAGAAACTTACCCAAAAGGAATTCTTATTTATTGTCAGTGTAATCAGAAATATGTTTAATTTTTCAACAACTCCAAAATTGAAATAACATCTTTAAGGTGCACAGAAAGCACTGGTTGCCCTTGAGTCCTCTTACTAAGGTCCAAGGACAATATTGTCCTGTGATTTTTTTTTTGTCTTTGCGTTGATTGGAGGATTGGAGTGGTACCTTCTTTTTTTTTTTTATGAATGAACTAACATGACAGTCACCTTTATTTTCTGTCCTCACAGCTTTTCAGTCATAGTAAAGGCTTTCAGCCTTCTACTACAATGAGAACAGCTAAGTAAGAACCATATGAATGCATTTTAATTTACCCATAAATTTGGCTTAAATATATTTTGGAATAATTTCAGTTTATAACCTGGGGACTACCTGTATTTATAGGGTCTGAATTCTCACCTTTAACCTGTTAACAAAGCCAGTTACATTCTTGAGCTCTGGTGGCCTAGTGGCAAGACACTGTACTGCAGTCCCAGAGGTACACAGTTCAAATCCACCAGATGTTCTGCTGGAGAAAGAGGGGGCAATCTCCTCCTGTACCAGTCAGATCTGGTTTGACGGTACACGTAAAAATAATACAATAAAAATTAAAAAAAAATTTTTTAAAAGCCAGTTACGTTCTTAATACTTTTATTAGGCTATGTAAGTAAGATTATATTATAACCTCTTTGATCATGATTGTATTATATGCTAATGTCACATCAAGATAGTGTGCTTGTGACTATTAAGTACTAAATATCCAGCAACCTGAAAGTTTCAGGAGTTTCAGGAGTAGTACCTTCTTAAAAAAGTAATATCTCTCATGTGAAGTGCTTTATAAGCTCCAGGGGGCTACCTCTAGTCCTTCACATTTATTTAATGTTAACAGCTAAAATTAAATTTAATTAAGCTGATTAAATAAGAGGTCTAAACTCTATCGTTCACATTTATTTGTGAATGATACACAAAATAGCAAATAGGATTTCTTCAATATTCCTATGTGATTTAGTTCCTTCATTTATAGCACAGTGTAAACTTTAAAAAGTTACGGTAATAGTTTAAAAAGCAAACGGCGACAGCCAATTTCCTTGTCATTGAGAGTTGGTACTGGACAGATGCTGTTGGTTCTTGGATATTGTTAAACTTGCCCAACCTCCATGTGACAAAGGAGTGGTGAAGATTATAACCTATCATTGCAGCTGGAATTTTAGTACCTGTTGCAAGCTTTGTGGGAGCTATCCCCTTGACATCCTCAGTTCTTGGACAGCTCCCATGCGAAATAACAAGGGAACCATAGTCGGAATAGATGCACATGTATTAATTTCTTGTTTTTCTCTGACTTTTTTTAATAGTTTCTGTCGCTGAAAAACTGGACTCTTCAGCTGGTAAATAAGCAATTATACTTGATTTTTCTAGATCTCTTTGTTTCTAAATTAAAGATTCTTTTAATTGAATACTATGAATATCTTGTTTTAAAAAATTGAAATAACTGCATGTATGTCTTCCCTTCTTGCGTGTGCAGTTTTTTCGTTAACAAAACATACCATTAAATTGTTAAAGACGTACGCATCCTACCTTCCCTGGCTGCCCAGCCTTTACGTCTGGCTTTCTGACTAAGGGATGTTTTAAAAATAACTTTTAACTGACATTTAAGACACTGAACAAAGCAATAGATTCAATTCCGGTTATTGGTTGACTGATTGCTTATTTGTTTCCCATTACTACGCCGTCTGCTTCTAGTACGCAACAGAAGGTAGTAGGATTTGGGGTCAGTGATAGACTAGAACTTCCGGGAGCCAGATGCAGAAAGTGGTCCAGGGCCCACTTCACCCAGAGGGTGTGTACACGTGTGTGATTAGATCAGGTTCAACTTTGGAAGTTACTGTATTAACATTCATCATCGTATCAAGAGTATACTTTCAATTGAGTGTTCTAGATATGAAATTACATTTCAGTAAATAAATAGTGAATATCTAGCACAGAATGCCTATGCCTAGCACAATACTAGTTCTGTAAAGGAAATACAAAGATTTCATGGAAATCTGTACCAAGTGCAGAAGTTCTTTTGCCTGTTTCCTGAGTGTTGAGCGAGTCATTTTATCAGCTAGCTCTTAACTGTTTCATTCATCCAAAATAAATGTAGATGAGTATGTTTGAAAGAATTCATTTAATAAGTGATACTATTCTGTTTTTAATAGGATTTTTTTTTTAATTCAGAAACAGCAGTCATTATTTTCAGAAGAAGAAGAATATACCACTGGATCTGAGGTCACTGAAGACGAAGTTGGAGATGAAGAAGAAGTATCCAAGAAACAAAGTAATGGTTTCTAAATCAGAGTCTTGTGTCAGCGTCCGTATAAGGGTTGTGTTCATTTCAAAGGCTTTAATACAAAATATAGGGACTTGTCTTTGTAACTTTCCACAATTGGTTTAATATGGTAAAAAAATAAATACTTACTTACTCCTGGCATCACTGTAGAACCCTTAGAGATTTATAAAGAGAAGTTCAGTGCATGACCTCCAGAGTGTCACTTTTTCCCCCCCATGTTGTGTACCATCTAATCGGATCCGACTGACACAGGAGGAGATTGCCCCTCCTTCTCCAGCAGAGCAGCTGGTGGATTCGAACTGTGCACCTTTGGGATCGCAGTGCAGTTTCTTGCCTCCAGGCCCCAGAGCTCCCTTCAGAGCTTCAGTTTTGTTGCTAGGTGCTGTTGAGTTGACCACAATCCATAGCGACCCTATGCACACCCTGTTCAGGTACCAACCTTACAAATACCACCATGCTGTTTTCCCTCTACGTGTAACCTAATGTGTTTCTCAGAATGTCTCTTTGACATCATAGTACATTTGAGATGATTTGGAATTGTGCTCAAATGAGGCATTCAAAATAAAATAAGCACTATTAAGATTAAATAAAAAGAATTAAGATTGCTGTTAGGTGCCATGGAGTCGAACACGACTCAGAGCGACTCTGTGAACAAAAGATCTGAACCCTGAACTGTCCTGCGCCATCCTCACACTTCCTGACCCCATTGCCACAGTCACCGTGTCAGTCCACCTGGTCTTTCTCTCTTTCACTGACCCTTCAATATTAATTATAAATATTAAATATCAGCATTAAGATTAAACTAAAAGAATAAAAAATTATCAATAAAAGATACAACTGTTACATAAATGTAGAACTAACTTGTATGAAAGAAAATTTAACTCAGTGAGGGAAACAGAAGGTGAAATTGGTGAAAAGGCATTTGAAATCAAAGCAAAACAAAAGGGCATTTGAAGACTGGTGTTAATATAGTGGGAAAATGTTAAAATAGGATTTCATATTAGATACAGACTAATTATTGTCCTCCAAGACAGTAAACTCATTGCCTGAAGGGTTATTGTCCCTGATAGACTTCATTTGAGTCTCTATCGGGAAGAAATCTGCAAGTTAATATGCAATTGCATACGTAACATCTGAGCTTTTAATCAGTGGTAGTGAAGTCAAACACGAGACCATGAAATAATTGCTGGGTGCGGTACAGAAAGGACATGTACCTTCCTTCTGTCTTATTTCTAAGTTTTGGATAATTTATTTGAAGTTGGATCCCCTACTGAAAAAAAAAAAACCAAAACAAACAAACAACAAACCACCACTCTATTCCTGTCCTCACTATTTTTTTAGTATAATTAGTGGGGAAGAGGTGTTCCTTCATTCCTTCCTGTCTGGAGGTTGGCCCCTCTCAGAGTCTCTCTCTTTCTGAGATGTAGCTTTCCTAATATCTCTCTCTCTCTGAGACAAAACTTCTCTAATAAAAACAGAAAACAAAGGGGAGCTCTGGTGGTCTAGTGGCAAGAAGCTGCACTGCAATCCCAGAGGCTCACGGTTCAAATCCACCAGATGCTCTGCCGGGAAAGGAGGGACACTCTCCTGTACCAGTCAGATCCGATTTGACGGTACACACACACACACACAAAATAATAAAATAATATTTTTTTTAAAAACCCAGAAAACGAAACAAACAACAGCCAGGAAATCAGGAGACATTTTTATTTCAAAAAACAAGAAGAAGAAGAAGAAAGCGTGACTGTGTTGGAATTTTTTCCCACTCCCAAAATTTTATTGAGGTATAATATACATATAATAAAACTTGCCCATTTTAAGTGTCTACTTATGACTTTTGGCATATGGTTGTGCAACCACTACCAAAATGAAAATACAGAGCACCATCCCCTCGAACTGATGCCCTGAACTCAGACTACTAGCTTCGCACACTGAGAGAGTAGATTTCTGTTTGTTAAATCTGCCTACCCATAGGGGAGCTCTGGTGGCGTAGTGGTAAGGAGCTGCAGCTACAATCTCAGAGGTGCACGGTTTGAATCCACCAGATGCTCTGCTGGGGAAGGAGGGACAATCTCCTTCCTGTACCAGTCAGATCTGATTTGACGGTACACGCACACAAAAACAATAAAATTTAAAAAGTAAAAAAAAAACAACTTAAAAAAAAATCTGCCTACTCATGGCATTTCTTTTCTAGCTGTACTTAGGTAGCTACGACATTGTGCTGTTAGTTAAATCCTTGCATTTTCTGGCATCACCAAAATTTTACACTGTTCCCTCATAGAAGTTGCATGAGTTTAACTTTTTTTTTCTTCTAAAATTTATTTTGTTGTTGTTGAGGCTTTTGTTGTTGTTGTTTTCTTGGAAGGGGGGTGGTTTGTTTTTCTAAAGCCCAAGTTTGACACTTACTCTATGTGAATCAGTAATCCCTTCTGTGTCAGTTTATGTATGGCTTGAGCTGTAAGGATCACGATTCTTTCTTCTTAGAAATTGCCAGTTGTTCCAGCTCCATTATTGAAATAACTGTTCTTTCCCCGTTGGATAACCTTGGCGTCTTTGTTAATTGATTGTTCCTGGACCCTTCAGTCTCTTCTATTGATCTGTATGTCTCTCCTTATATCAATACCATTCTGTCTCAATTCCTTTCATTTGTAGTGAATCGTGAAATCAAATGGTATTCATTTGCTAATAGTGTTCTCTTGTTTTCAATTATTTTGCATTCTAGCTATTTTGCATTTCCTATTAATTTGAAATTTCGTTTGGATATTCCTGTGAAAATCCTCCTCTGGTTTTTGTGAGGAGTAGGTTGAACCCATACATTGATTTGAGGAGAATTACTTTTTTTATTTTTTAAAAATCATGATCTGTCTTTTAAGCCATGATTATGAGATATCTCTCCGTTTATTTGATTCATTAGTATCTTCTAACAGTGTTTTTATATTTTTAGCATGTAGTTATTAAACATCTTGTGTTAAATTTATTCCTAAGTATCTTTTCATTGCTACTATTGTAAATGGATTATTTTCTATTTTCCATTTATATAGTGCTACCATACTAAAATATAATTAACCTTGGCATAATGACCTTATATCCTATAATCTTGCCAAACTTACTTACTAGCTCTTCACTTACAGGTTTTCCAGTCTGTATACTTCTTCTTTCTTTGTCTTCCCTTTGTGAACAAGTTAGAACCTAATGTGGGAATAGTTATCATTACTTTATATCTGATCTTAGAGTAAGCATTCAGTCCTACATTATTAAGTATGTAAAAATAGATACTGATTTCCTGGAAGGACAGGTGTTTACCAGGGTGAAGAGGTTTCTGTCTGTCTCTACTTTGCTGAGATTTTATAGTGAATGGATGTTTGTTTTGTCGTATGCTCTTCTTCCAACCACTGAGGTGGTCATGTTAAGTTTTCTCCTTTACTTCATCACTAGTGGTAAGAAGCCGAGCTGCAATCCCAAAGGCATGTGGTTCAAATCCCCTAGCTGCTATGGAGGAGAAGGATGGGCAGTCTCCTCTCATGTGAATAACTGTCTCTGAAGACCCCCAGAGGGTCAGCTATGGGTCACTTCCGACCTGAAGGCAGACAACAAACAAGATCAATTACTTTGGTTTTTTTTAAATGTTATACCAGCCTTGTGGACTAAACATGCCTGGTCAGGATGTGTTACTCTTTTCATCTGTCTAAGCTGTTATGTTAATTAGCATAAAGTTGCTCATAGAGTTATCTTACCCATTTCTTTTGAAAAGGTCTATAGTAATGCCTCCTCATTTGTTCCTAATACTAGTGATTTGTGGCTTACTTCCTCCACTATCTGGTTAAGAGGTTTTCCCTTGAGAAGGCTGTTTATAGTTTTATTGATCTAATTAGGTTTATTGTTCAAAGGGCCACATTTTGTTTTCTTTTTCATTGATCTTTCGCTATACTTTTCCCTCCTGAATTCACTTTGGGATTAATGCCCGTCACCCCCTCCCTCCCCCACTGTTTTTTACTGGCTTCTCTAATATAAACTCAAAAGCTACAAATTATGCAAACCAATAAAAATAATTTCACTATCTTAAAAAAAAGCTACAAATTTTCCTCTAAGCGTGTCTCTTAACTACTATCCACAACATTTTATGTCTCTTGTTTTCACTTTTAGACAGTACAAAACCTTGTAGTTGCCTTTTGACTTTTTATTTGACCCATGCTTGGAACTGATGCCTTCGAGTTGTGATGTTGGAGAAGACTATTGAACAGTCCTTGGACTGCCAATAGAACAAATACGTTTTGGTGAATGTCCAGCTGGTGTGGTCCTCAGAGGCAAAGATGGAGAAGCGTTATTTTAGGCATGTTTTTAGGAGAGGCCAGTAATTGGAAAGGTCAACAAAAGAGAGGAAGACCCTCTACAGGATGGATTGACATTAGCAGTGGGCTCAGATATATCACTGGTGTGGAGGACGGCGCAGTACAAGGACAAGTCTCATCCCTTTGCTCATAGAGTTGCTGAGTCGTAGTCATGTCAGTGGGACCTAACAGCAACGTGCTTAGAAGTTGTTGTTGTTGTTATGTACCGTTGAGTTGCTTGCAACTCATAGTGACCCTATGTACAACAGCCCTAAACTCCGCTCTGTCCTGTGCCAATCGCACTATCTCCTGACACTCCCATCCCAATTATCCCAGTCACTGAATCAATCCACCTCATAGAGGGCCTTCCTCTCCTGCACTGTCCCTCCACCCTCCCAAGCATGATGTCCCTCTCCAAGGACCTGTCTCTCCTCACAACATGTCCAAAGTATGTTAGACAGAGCCTCAGAATCCTTGCCTCCAAGGAGCCACCCGGTTTAGAAGTACGTTACATATTTCCAAATAGCTTAAAAATTTCCAGATACCTTTTAGTTACACGTTTTTAACAATTTTGCCGTCGTCAGAAAACTTACTGTTTGTGATTGCACCCCTGAAATTTTTTGAGATAAGGTCTAAGGCCCAGCATGCTCTCTGTTCTGGTGATTGGTAAATAGGCATTTGAAAACGATTAATTGTGCTCTTGATGGTAAAGCTGCCATTCGGTGTCATTGCGGTCAAGTCAGCTTGAACATCTGGTATAAATCTTTTACTTGGTTCATATTCCGGTTATTTTCTATGAATTACTGGGAGAGTATTGAGATTTCCAGTTCCCCTTGTTATAAATCCTCTCCTTGACCTTCCAGGCTTCTCAGTTTTTGCTTTGTATGTGTTGGAACTTGATGATAATCTGCGTGAACAGTTACAATGTATTGACTTTAATCAGCACCTGAAAAGTTATGCCTTTTGGCCTGTGGTAAAACTGCTTGTCTTGAAGTCCGTTTCCGTTATTAACAGAGCCAACGCTAGGTTTATGTTAACTGTTCAAATGACATATTTTTTTACATACTTTGTCCTTAGTTGACTTATTTTTTTGCTTTCAATTAAAAACATATATTTGATATAGCATATTGTTAAGATTTTTTTTTATCCCCGTGATGTGACACCAGGTGATGCCACCACTCAGATTTTTTTCTTTCTGTCCGCATCACCCTAAGCCTGTGTAGCTTGGTATTAACCAAGGACTTGGACAGAATTTGTAATCTGATTTTCTGGCTCCTCTGCTTTGTGGTTGATGTGCTGGCTGTATGATATCCTCATACATGACTAGGTGATTAGTCAACCCTGTGAGTCTACGGGGCATACGTAGTGTGTGCCTGTTGGGCTGTTAACCAAAAGGTCAGCGGTTCAAATCCATCAGGTGTTCTGTGAAAGAAAGATGGACAGTCTCCTTCTGTAATTATTTGTACTTAGAAGGTAACTCCACTATTGAATTAGGTTCACAGAGAGATAAGATCTGTTCGCCCCTCAACATTCTTCTGTGTTTCATTTCACTTGGACTTTGGTTTTATTGCCCTCGCTTCTTTTCCCCCAAGTTAACAGCAAGTAAAAAAAAAGCGAATTAATGAAAATGAACCCCTGTAAAGCAATTTCATGCCATGATTCTGAAATCCAGGCCATGATCTTTCCTATCACTCGCTATACATCTGAGAGCTGGGCAAGGAATAAGGATGACAGAAGAACTTCTGATGCCTTTGAGCTGCAGTGTTGGAAAAAGAGTACTGAACACCCCATGGTCGGCCAGTAGAACAAATATGTCTTGGAGAAAGCACAGCCAAAGTGCTCCTTGGAGGCAGAGATGATAAAGCTACACCTCATACACTTAGGGCATGTTGCTAGGAGGGGCTGTTCCTTGGAAAAGGACATCATACTTGGAAAGGTGAAGGGATGGTGAGAGAGGAAGACCCTCAACCAAGTGGGTTGACATGGTGACTGCCACAGTGAGCTCTTGTGTGTCAGGAAGTGTGAGGATGCCACACCACAGGACAGGGTTCTGACCTGTTCATAGAATCACTATGAGTCGTACTCGACGGCACTTAACAAAAGCAAAGCAATCTGCTTTACTGCTCCATGTGTTTACCTTTTATCCAGAAGTAATATGTAGGTTTAAAATAAATCAATAGAGTTTTCTTATTCAGAAGTAGCGAGTGCATTGTATGAAACTTCTGTTTTGAATATTGGCATTCTCTTTTTCAGGGAAAAAAGAGAAGCCAAAGAAGTTCACTAAGCAACCAAAAAAGCAGATGTCTTCTTCACCCTGTACTCAGAAGAAAGAAAAGGCGGTGGAGAAGGTGAGTGTCACTTATCTGTTACTGTTCTACAGTAATACAGTATTCTCCAGTTAATACAGAGAAATAAGTAAGCAAATATAACCCGGAAAAAAGCTTTCAAAAAGAATGGCATATACTACAACGTAGAAAAGAATAAAGCAGTTCTTCACAGGTTAAGGCAGGAGAGAAATAGAAAAGTACAGGATAGGGCATACAGTGGGAGTAACAGAGCATGTAAGTAATAACATCTGTGAGAGATCTCTGGTAGCCTAGTGGTAAGGAGCTGCACTGCCCACCCTCAGAAACTCAGTTCTAATCCACCAGCATCTCCAAGGGAGAAAGATGAGGAGTCTCCTCCAGTGTGATTTACTGCCTCTGAAAACCCACTGGAGGGTCAGCTCTGAGGGTCTTTTTGATGATGTACAATAATAACAGCTCTGGTTAAAAGAGAAACCCTGGATTCCAAAAGTTTGTGGGGGCAGAGGTGGTTGGAGAGAGTAATCACGTGGTGACTTGGGTTTTGTTGAACATTCATCTCTGTGTACCACAGAAAAGACCTCTAAAAGTTCCTGTTTTCAGGATCTGACAAATAAAGCAGTTCTTTGGGCACATTTCTTGACCTCTCTGAGCCCGTTTTACGAATGAGACCATAACTTGGGCTGTGTCTCATGGTGACTGGGAGGCATCCACACCTGATGCACGTGATGTTCTTATACACTATCTTGCACCATGCTGGTGCTCGGTAAAATAAGCTCTTCTCATTAATAAGAAAAACAATCACTGACCTTTTTCTATTGCGGCCTTCATACTGTCTCCTTTTTTTTTTAAATTTTTCGCCCAGTCAGCTTCTAGAGATGCATCTCCCTTCATGTGAGTATATCATCTGGATCTAGTTTGATTCCTGCTCCTTAGACCACACAGACTCTCAGACTTCTGTTTGATTTTTGTCCAAAGTGTGAGTATGCAGAAAAATAAGTGGGATGCCACGCGGTCCTTGCGATTCAACCAGGATGCCCAGAGAGAAGATGGTAAGTTTTACAGTTAGATAATGTGCCAGCAGGGTGCAGATAACCAAGATGTCTATCATTCCATGAAGAAAGCTCAGTGAATTTTTAAATTCCAGCTGGGAAGAGACTTAGAGTTAGTGCATTCCGACTTAGGTATCAACCACGTTTCTGTTAACTAGACAATCCCTGGGGTCATTGTCTTGCTTTATCCTTCTGTGGTCTTGAGAAGGTCTCCTAGGCTGGTTCTTGCCCAGGACTTTGACTTCATTGAAGATGGCTATGTATGTTGTTGTTATGTGCTGCCGACTCATAATGACTCTATAAACAACAGCACCAAACCCTGCTCTGTCCTGTGCTATTCTCACTGTCTCCGACACACCTACCCCAACTACCCCAATCACTGAATCAATCCTTCTCATAGAGGGTCTTCCTCTCCTGCTCTGTCCCTCCACCTTCCCAAGCATGACATCCTCCCCAAGGACTGGTTCCTTCTTGCAACATGTCCAGAGTATGTCAGATGAAGCTTTAGAATCCTTGCCTCCAAGGAGCGGCCTGGTTCAACCCTCTCTAGGACGAACCTGTTTGTTCTCTTAGCAGTCCATGGTACATTCAATACTCTTCTCCAGCACCGCAACTCTAAGGCATCAATTCTCCTTCTATCCTCCCTAGTCATTGTCCAACTCTCTGATGCATAACAAGTGATTGTGAAGACCATGGCCTGTATCAGGCACACCTTACAGACCATGTATGTAGCTCATTTATAATAATCTAGAAGACAGTTTGAATGCCCAAGGACACTCTCTGTGCACCTGTCCACAGCAGAAGGTCCCAGTGGCCGTGTTGTTACAGGCCAGTGCCGCGTCTCAATGGCAGCGCCCTCCACTTGTTTGATCACTGCCTGTTGGACATCCTGCCACGTCTCAGGATGCATGTGGTGTTTGGGGCACCCTTTCCCCGCTGTGCCTTCCCTGCAGCTACAGAGACACAGGGCCCCAAACCTCCAGTCCCCACCTCTACCCTCCCTGCGCGGGATCCCCACTTGTCCTCCATGTTCCCCAGATAGACACTTGCCAGCCTCCCCCTTCACACAACCTTGTGTCATTCTGCCATCACAATTCTGTTCACCCTCTGTGGCCAGACAGAGAGGTCACGGACAGATGAGAAACAGGACGGAGCAGCATCCCTGGCCAGTCAGCCATCCTCCCTCTTCTGGCCTGGTTGTCATTATTAAGGTGGCCTGCAGAGGGCGCCCGCGGCCTGCCACATTGGAAGTGCCACCTGAGAATTTTTTCAAAGTCATAAATATGTGGATTCTGAAACTCCATCTGATGTACTTTGGGCATGTTGCAAGGAGAGACCAGTCCTTGGGGAGGGGCATCATTTTGGGGATGGTGGAGGGACATTTTAAAAGAGGAAGATCCTCGATGAAAGGGATTGATTCAGTAACTGGGGTGATGGGATTAGGTATGTCAGAGACAATAAGGGTGGCACAGAATAGGACAGGGTTTAGGGCTGTTGTACATTGGGACGCTATCAGTTGGAGGCAATTTGACAGCACATAACAACAGAGATGTTGCTTAGCAAGGTTGTAAAAGCAGCAGAGGTTTAGTCCCTTATTTTACTTACTGCCTCACTTTCTTCAAAGATGTGTAGATGTGTCTGTTAAAAAATGTCAAAAATTTCATAAAGGATTTCATAAATCCTTGCTAATTTCAGTAATCTTCAACAAATGAAAGTCAATAAGACATCATGAAGAGTAAAGCTTACTGTTTCTCTACCTTCAGATCAGCGGCGGATGTCTGAAATTACAGGGCACCTAATAAAAATGAGACTGGGTGACCTGGACCGGATGAAGTCCAAAGACGCAAAAGATGTAAGAGAAAAAACACTGGTATTTTCTTACTTAGAGGTGTTTTCCTACCTTTGTTTCCAGCACAAAAGAGTAGAAAGATGCTTCAGGCAGAATTTCTAAAAATTTTTATTTAACATTCTTTGCTATTTTTAGATTCTGTAGCTGTTTAACCAGTTCTTTCACATAAGTTTCTCACCTTTTTTAAGATTCCTTCTGACATACTTGGTGTAGCCTTGAAGGTCTGG